CTGGGGCCAAAGTCGGGAACTGCATGAGCTGATGACCATGTAGGTCGTTGTTGGCAAATGGACTGTAGTGGTGAGCAGTGGTGACGCCCATAGACCGTTGGGACTGGAGTCGGAAGCTGCATGAGCTGATGACTACGTAAGTCGTTAGGGCAAATATTGATATCTTTCGTATGCCGTTGGGGTCGGATTCAGGAACTGAATGAGCTCATGACCGTGTAGGTCGTTGTTGGCAAATAGACTACAGTGGTGATGTTTATAGACCGTTGGAACCGAAGTCGGGAACTGCATGAGCTGATGACTACGTTAATCGTAGTTGGCATATGAACCGTAGTGATCGAGCTGGTCAGTTTGATTATAAGTTTGCTGAAATTTGAACTCTTGATGACTTTTTTTCAGGATTTGAATGTTTCTTATTTGAAATATCGTCTCGAAATTTGTGTTGGATGATAAAAATTTGATAATGACGTATCAGCTGCCCCCTTTTTCAGGCGAGACCATTTTTATCGTCCGAAAATATCAATATCCGGAGTGTTTATGTATAAGTATATATATATCTTACGTATTTCATACAAAAATAGTTGTTATCTTTATATAAATGGAAAGTTGAACTCAGCTTAGTTGGTTAATATATTTTGATTCATGTGGGAGAGGGGGTTCAAATTCCGCCTAAAACAGAAGAAATAATATCTTTACAAAGAAAATTGAACCAACCATGAATTTCAAGAGGAATTCGAATTTCAAAAATAATGAGACGATATGAAAAGTTTTTTTTTTTTAAATTTATGAGCATTGAATGCTTGCACTTAATTTTAAATTTATATAATAATGAGTATTTAATGTTTGATTCCCTTGTTGAGTATATAATTAGGGGTCTGAAGGAGAGGGTAGAGATGTGGCGGTGTGTCATGGCGATGCATTGCAGTGGTGCATTACGGCGGCACGACGCTTTGCGGCAGTGCGTTGACGCGATGCGTTGCAGCAAGGCATTGCGGCGACTTCATGTGTTGCAGCGGTTCGTCGCGGCGACGTGTTGCAGCGGGGCAAGACGTTATGACGGTTTGTCTTGGTGACGTGTTGCAGGGCGGCAACGCGTTGTGAAAGTGCGTCGCGACGCGATGATGCGTTGCGATGACAGGACGCGTGGCGGCAGTGCGTCGAGGTGCGGCGGGAAAATGCGTTGTGACGGTGTCGCGACGATGTTGCAGCACGGCAATGCATTGTGGCAGTGCTTTGCGGCGTGGTGATACGTTGTGATGATGCGCCGCAATGGCATGACGCGTGGGGGCGATGTGTCGCGGTGCATTGCAGCGGGGTACGCGTTGTGGCGGTGTGTCGTGACGTATGGCAAAGCTGCAACGGGTTGCGAGCGTGGCAATGTGTTGCGGAAGTTCTTTCCGACGACGCATTGTGACGGTGCATTTCGATTACGTGACGCGTTGCGGAGGGGCGTTGCGGCGATGCGCTGCTGCAAAGAGTTGCGATGAAGAAATGCGGCAGGGTTAAGGTGAAAAAATGTTGCGAAGAGTTGAATTAAAGAATTATGACGTAGAGTTGAGGTAAAGAATTATGTCGTGGAGTTGTGGCGAAGAGTTGCAGGGAAGAGCTGTGACGAAGAGAAAAGTCGTCCCCGCCATGTGTAACAAACAAGCAACGAAATCTTCTTTCTCGTTGCGGCAAACAGGAAAGTCTTCCTCGTCCTACGTAGCAAGCAAGCAACGGGGTCTTCTTTCTCGTTGGTGTCGTGCTTTTCGCAGGAGATTCCAGTGCCGTTCTTGCACAATCTGGAGGAGACAGAATTGTTGTAGCCTTCCTGTCGCGCTTTAAGGGAAAAATTTTTATTCTTATGTGGTGGCGATATCAGAAGTACTGGAGTTTTGGGGAGGCGATGCTGATCCTACTCGAAGATGAGCGGATTTGTTGTAGTTCTTGTATAAGTATATGTTGGTCATTGTAGCCTCTTAATGTGACAATGCATTTCTCTATATGTTTTTTGTGTAGCTTATGAGGTTATTGCGACCTCTCAACCGTACCAAATTCTGCAATTAAAGTCAGCACATGATCGGCGATCATCAGAAGTACTGCAATTAAAGCCAACCAATCAGCTGATGCATTACCTTTCTATGTATAAAGCCCCATCTAACTTGAAGATCAGACGAATCAATGTATTTCCAAATCATGTTTAAGCATATAAATAAGTTCCAAGCAGGCTCTTTTTTTCTGGAAATTAAATCAAAAAACTCAGTAGAATCAGTTTCAATAACAAGTAAAGGTCAATGTTAAATAACAACAGTTTGTAAAGCAGGAAAAATCATCCAGCATTCGGCTTTTGTGGGAGTAAGAGCCAAAATGGTTTCTGAAATACTGCCCCAGCGCCAGCGGAGTTCATTTACCAACTCCCACCTACATTTATTTTGATCCAGCCCTGCCCTCTTTAGGCAAATATCCAGGCATCAAATGTAGTTGTTTAGAAGCTTTGGCATAGTAAGCAAGGATATGTGAAATAGTAGAAAGAGGAGAAGGAAGAGAGTGTTCATGCTTAGCATTGTTTCTAGCACACCAGAGAAACCACAAAACTCTGTAAGGAAAGTAACGCATTTGGATCTCCAAATTGCAATAGGAATGCCAAGCAAGCAAACAATCCTCTATAGAATTCCATATAAAAGTTTTCAAACCAAAGATCCTTCCCAGGCATTTCCAAATTTCCAGAGCAAAGGAACATGAAAAATAAAGATTTAGCGCAAATTCTTTAGAAAATTTAACCTCAACCATTTTAGCTTCAAGATATCATCAAAAGGAAATAGATTTAGAAAATTCCTCCATAAGAAGATTGAGATTGAAGGAGAAAGACATTTATGCCATATATCAATGCCCCATTTCCAATTATCAAAATGATGAAAGAGCTATAAAGCATTTTAGAGGTGAAAGTACTTCGACCCATTTTCCAGTGTGGCTTATCTTTAAGATTATTACCTAATGGTATCATAGAAATTTGGGGGATTAATTCCCCTAACAAATTCTGCAAAATGCACATTACAATGCGCATTTACACATAGAACAGAAACATAGAGGTGGCAATGAAGAGAAGTGGGATGAGTACCGAAAAAATCAGCCCCTAGTTATCGTGCCAAAGTATATGTCATAATAAATTTAAAATTTATTGAATAAAGAATTTCATTAATGCTATAGATAATTATTTTATGCAAGTTGTAGCTTAAGAATTAAAGAAAATAAACGGGAAAAGGAAAAATGAATGTTTAATGTCTTTAAAATGAGGTAATTTAAAAGAAATGAAATGATAAATAAATGCTCAAATCATACAGGATCACTCCCAAATGATACTGACAGATGATGCAATGTACTCATGCACGTTAAATGAAATGGTAATGGTGTACCTTCGGGTACAATTTTGAAGGTAACTTCGGGTACAATTTTGAAGGTGACTTCGAACACATTTTTTAAGGTGCGTTCGGGCACATTTTTTTAGGATATCTTCGAGTATGACGGTAATCCTATGATAACTATTAAACAAGTTAAGTTGATAAATACGTAAAATGAAAAATGAAGGGATAATTTTCTTTTGGTCATTCAAGCATTGCATAACATAAAAAATTAATGCATATTGGATTATAATTACTTACTAAGTTATACTTATAGTTGCAAATTAATATTTTCTTTCAGGAGAATGAAAGTTAAAGTTGATACATCTGATAGGAGACTTTTTTTACCAGAGAAAGACCACTGCTGCTAGGTATTGTTATGATGATAATTTTTCTTTAATTTTCTTCTACATATGGATTTATTATTTGCTAAGGGCATGAGATGTTTTCTTTGGAAGTTAGTGTTTCTGGAAGCTTTAGATTTTATTGTATTTTATGAATTTACTTGCTCTTTTATATGTATTGGAAGTTGACAAAATGTGAATAGTTAAATGTTAATACTTTCCGACCACTATACTCGCATTAGTTAATTCTAAGCACCGGGTCGAGTCGTAATAAAGCGGTATCAAAGAAATTAAGTTTGATCATGATCAAAAAGAGTCATTAGGATGATTACTGTAGTTCATAAATAATACTGATAAAGAATTAAATTGTATCTAATTATAATATTTCTTATGTTATTTTAGAAATATGAAAAATCAAGGGGACGAAGGTAGAGATGATATTGTAGAAGAATGTTGTGAATACTTCTGTATTTACAGAGAGAATGGCTGCAACAACATAATTGATTAAGAACTCAAAGACATGAATTTCCTTCTTCCTAGCCAATGACTTCGACGAAGCAGTAGGACCTTCCATTATAGAGTGTCAAGCCTTAGCCCAAATAAGTGAAGTAAATGGGGCTATGGTATCTAATTTCTTAGCCAGGGTATTTATTAGAAATGAATTCTCTAGCATTTGATCACTTACTATCAAAGCACCATTTAGTACACTTGTCAAACTTGTATTTAATTGCATTTGCTTTTTAAAAAATAAATCTAAACCCAAAACATGTGGTGTATGCCTCTTAAATTTTGAGATGAGACGTGCCGCATAAGAGAGGCTATGAGGTGCACACCTCGTGGAAAAGAAAAGTATTTGAAAAGTGTTGAGGTGTGCATCGTATTACACAATCTTAAACTACCCTGAAGAAAAAACAATATTTATAACACTTTGCTTCCATATCGAGGATAAAAAATATACAAAATGAAATAGTCATGATCTAGGTTATGATGAATGAAACTTAAAAAATTTACTTTTGAGGAATTTATTTATTATTAAAAATATTTAAGGTGCTAAAATGTTAAAGAAAATGGATATTATCAATAGAATCTTTGAAATTAATAGAATTGCATATGGTTTTGTACATCATTAATTTCCTTTTTATGGCTGCAGTTAGATATGATGAATCTGATAAATTTCTGAGGAAGCCACCACAAGACGAATAGTTCGATGATGATCATTTATTAGAAAACCCATTTCAAATTTATAGTTTCATGAAAGAAGATCCACTGAGACTATTACCTTAAGTTTATATTTATATTGCTTTAGTGTGCTCAACAGAGCTCTGGCAAAATTCCTCATAACTTCTTCACTCCTCTTAATCTTTTGAAGCTCAATATGTAATTCTGCATTTCCTTGCTTGCCAATTTCCTCTCCAGCAGAATCTGATATAATTTAAATTTTTTGTGGTTCAACTTTTTGGTATGGATAAAGAAGCAACTATTAATGATAAATGAGAAAAAAATATAATAATAACAAACGTTGAAATATCGTAATTAGAGAGTTATCTAACAAGCAAAAAACAGAATGACATGACTGCAAAACTGTAGATTCAATGATTTCAGGTCCGAGACACAGAGGAGAAAATACAATGTCAAAGGTAAATAAAATAATAACCTTTCTCAGATATTTTGCTTGTAGCAGATGCTTCCATCACAACATGATCTCCATCAATCTGAGAAAAAAAAATATAGATATGCACAAATCAATGCAAGTACCGTATTATATCACCCATGTCAATAAAAGTTGGTCCGCCAAAAATAAATAAATAAATAAATAAAATAAAAGCAAACAAAAATATTTCAGACATTTGTCAATATGTTTTTTCACACTTCACAGACAGCTATTTGTAGCTCATCTCACTAAAACAACGATTATTTCTATTTATCTTATCCATCTGTAAAGTAATAAGTGAGGTGAGCAAATAATTTCAAAGACATTCTAGATCGTCAAAATGCTAGTTCAAGCTTCAAAGAAAAAGAAATTTGCAAATCATCATACAAGAGCAATTTATTTCCATTTAGCTTATCTACCTGAAACATAGATGGAGTTGGAAGGGAACTAATCAGAAACACAGACATAAGAATCTTATAATGCTACCAGAGCATGAAAGTGACTTTGAAACCAATCCTCTCGCTTAAGGATCCAAAAAGAAGGTTCATGCATGTTATAAGACCATGATTCTTTATGGATGGACAAAATGGACCCCACATAGACATGTTGAAGATCGGAGGAAGTAAAATTTTGCAAATACAATTTGAAACAAAACCTACAGAACTCATAATTGTTCACAATAATATTTCATTCGTACGTAATCACTGAAACTTAAATACAAGTCAACATTCCTATTTAAAGAAATAAGGTAGCAAAATAAGATAAAATAATTTGAGGTCAAACTTGAACCTAATAAATTCTAAGCAAAATGTCAAAAGGTGTCACAAAGGACAATTAAAAAAATAAAACAAATCAAATGAAATACCTGATCGCCCTAGCACATCTAATCTGCTGGTCATTGCTGTCCAACTGTATGTCATTATTGTCATTGCATTGATGATGCCATATTTCTTGGGTTTGTCCTCTCCTTGTCAGACAAGTCATCCTCCACATTGTACTTATGATTTCTTCACAGCTATTTACTGTTCCTGCCACCTTAAAGCCACATATAAAGCAACGCACGAATCCACCTCCTCAGCTTTTGCTCCAGCACTCGTGTTTGTGTTCAAGCTTCAATGTAGCCTTCCTATGTGAAGAAAGGCTTCCATTTTGCTTCCTGGGAATTCACTTAGCTCTTCCCCCCATTTATCAATGCCATATTCATTATTCATTCAGCAGAGCCAAGACACAAGCTAAGGCTACCTTTTATGGTAAACTCACTCCCACTTCTTTTCTAAGGATGAGATTCACGATCTTGTAACATAATTTTCCTACATATTTCATACTTAATTTACTTATAATAGGTGATTCCTCTTCTGCACTTCTTAATCATTATCATGCGCTTATCAAACTATGGCTGGAAATAGATTACTTTAGACTTTTTTCTCGTAAGTCACAATTTGAGAACAATCTCCTGATGCGTATGCTGAAATAATCTATGTTTAAATACCTCTGAAAAATCACCAATAACCTTAGTATGGGTTATTTTTCACATTTTAAAGCTTATTTCATCAATCAAAATCCAAATTATACTCAGGTAGATGTCAAAACTGCCAAACATTCCTGACAATATGTAGACAGTGTCATGTTCAGATTGACATTTTTGCTCGTTTGAAAAGGGGAGATATGGATTGGTTCTTCAATATATAGTCGATGACAAAAAGTAAAACAGAGGAACTGACACCGATATAAGAAATCCTAAAATGTTTAAAATGATTAAGCTACGTACTGGGAAAGGTGTAGGATGAAGGGAGAGAGGAATATGTGGTTAGAAAAGGGTCGAGGACAACAATATAGTCAACATTATCATTTAGGTAACCAAAATATTGTAATCCCCCAAAAAATCAATCTGATAAACTTTGTCATTAATCTTCTTAATGACTCTGAATGGACCATCTTCTCTAGACTTAAATTTTCAAAATAAACCAACAGGAAGCTACTCCTTTAGTTTGATCACACAAAGTTATCTTCCTAGAAGAACATAGTCATCCTAAACTTTTATCTTGTTTCTAATACTTAAAATTTTGCTTGATAAGTTCCTTGCTCACGTAAGGTGTAAATTTCTTCAACCATTTCCTCAGCATCAGTGCTATGCTCAATAGTGAGGAGTATTGACACTAGCTAAAATGGTGTGAGGGGGTTCCCCCAATATACAATCTCAATTTTATTGAAACCTATGGACTGACTAGTGAAATAATTATAAGCACGCTAGATTTGGGGAAGAATCAAGTCCCACTATCTGATGTTTTTGCCTATAACGCACGGGAGTAAAAACAAAAATCTTTGATTCACCAACTCAATCTATCCATCCGTCTATGGGTGTGCTAGTGAACTAAACTAAAGTTTATATCATGCTTACTTTTTGGAGTCATCTAGAAATGACTCAAAAAACCGTACATCTCTATCTAAAATGATAGTCATTGTCATGCTACGTAAGTGAACTACCTAAAGTAGTGTGAAGCATCAATCATCTTGTGGCAAGGTACAAAATGCCATGTTGAAGAAATCGTACATCAATATCATAACAAAATACTTAATTCGTTGTGTTCGGGGCATGCCCTCGACAAAATTCAAACTCACATCCAACCAAATTGATTTTAAAACAGAAATGAAAGTGTATAGATCAATATTGTATTGTCAAGTTTTGACCAAATGACATACTCAATACTATCTGACGTCTCTCCCTATATCCAATATCAGTCTATGCCAGTAGAAATTCTCCTTCAGTAAGGAGAGTCTTATTCCTACCAAAATATTTTGTTATCCCTCTATTGTAGCATTCTTTACAAACGCACAGTTCAAGTGAACTAGGAATGCATAGTCTGTTTTGATAAATTAAATAAACATATGATCGGCAAAACTATTCAAACAATATATCATGACAATAAGCTCAAATCTCATGAAAATCTTCATCAATGGCATATAGCTCCTTAAATACAATAAAGACAACTAACCTTTATTTCTGCTAGTTATCATAAATGATGATGACCCAATTCATTAACTAACTTATTTTAGCTCTCTGCCTTTGTCCTTGAGCACAAAATGGCACAAAATGAAAAAAAAAAAAAAGGAACTCAACCCAAGAAGGATGCCTACCTTTCAACTTATGTTGACTATTCAGGAATCTCAAAGCTTCGTGATCCATATAAAGAGTTAACATATTCACTAATAGATAGTAATTCTGGTGACTAAGAGCTCTAACTATGGCACAAAACCTTTTATCGTAATTAAAATATCTTCAGTTGGAATCATTCATCTTCTCATTAAAAAAAATGAGATGTCCATCTTGACTCAAAATCTAACTGAAATCCAACAAAACTAGTGAGTAGCTTCTTCAAAGCTAGCCTGAGCATTAGTTGACCATGAAAACATGTCTTCCTTGAGAAACTTCGTCAAGAGTGCCACAACAACAACAACAAAACCTTTATCTCACTAAGTGGGGTCGGCTATATGAATCTTTTTTTCTCCATTGTGTCCTATTTAGTGTCATATTTTAATCATATTGTGTCCTATTTAGTGTCATATTTTAATTTAATTCTAATAAATTAAGATAATTTTTTATACAATATGCCCAAGTCATCCTAGGTCTACCTCTTCCCTTCTTAGCATAAGCCTACTCGAATGCATCTAATCTGCTAATCGGATCATTAGATGGTTGATGTTTAATGTGACCAAACCATCTAAGACGACTCTCTCTAATTTTGTTTGTCACTGGATCTACACCAACCTAATCACGGATATAATCATTTTGCATTTTGTCTCTATGTGTAAAGCCACTCATCCACCTAATCATTCTCATCTCGGCAACACTTAAATTAATTTCATGCTTCTCTTTTACAGGCCAACATTCAGCGTCATAGGCATTGCAGGTTTCACCACCATCTTATAAAATTTTCCTATCAGTCTAAGCGGTACTGTTCTATCACACAATAGGCTCGAAACATTCCTCCACTTCAACCAACCAACTTGAATTCTACTAATAACATCCCCATAAACATCACCATCACTTTGAACAATAGACTCAAGATATCTAAAGCGTTCACACCTTTTAATAATTTGATCACCCATAGTTACATTTTTGTCAATAGAGCTACTACTGCTAAAATTACATTCCGTGTATTCAGTTTTAGTTCTACTCAAAAGAGGCCTTTAGACTCCATACTAGACCTCCATAATTCAAGTTATTCCTGAGCTTTTTCTCTGGTCATATCCACAAGAAGGATACCATTAGCAAAAAGCATACACCAAGATACATCCTTCTGTAAGTGTCCAGTAAGACCATCCATAACTACAGCAAAAAGATATGAGCTTAAAGCTGATCCCTAATGTAAACCAACAAAAATAGGAAAATATTTGATCAATCTTGCTTCTGTCTGAACACAAGTAATAGAACTTGTATACATACCTTTAATGACTTGAATATAAGTCATATCAACACCTTTATTCTCAAGAACTCGCCAAAGGATATCCCTTGGAACCTTATCGTAAGTTTTTTCTAAATCAATAAAAATCATATGTAGATACTCCTTATTATCTTTGAACTTCTCCAACAAACCTCTCAATAAATCTATAGCTTCCATAGTAGACATGCCCGACATAAATCGAAAATGATTGTGAGAAATCTTTGTAATGCGTCTTAACCTATCTTCAATTAATCTCTCCCATAATTTTAAAGTAAGACACATCAACTTTATTCCTCTATAATTCGCACACTCTTCTGCATCCCTTTATTCTTAAAAATGGGGACAAATACTCTTCCTCCACAACTCAGGCATAATTTTAGTTTTTAAAATAATATTAAAGAGTTTAGTAAGCCGAGAAACACTCAAATCTCCTAAATATTTTCACACTTCAACTGAGATATCATCAGGTCCTACAGACTTTTCACCTATGGTTTTCTTTAAAGCCTCCTCAACTACTTTTTTACTAATGCGACGTTAAAAATGAAAAAATTTATTATTATTAACAATATTAAAATCACTAAGCCTGATCGTATTTTCCGAAACTTCATTAAAAAGTTTA